TGTATTATCAACGGAAATAGAAACACTTGCAAAGTTTCAGGTCAATATGACAATTAGTTAGTAGTAGGTTAAATTCATCATTAGCTATTTTTCCACCCTTAGGGGTGGTATTTTTTTTTGAAATTTAAATGGGACCAATTTGGAAATATATACTTTCAAACAAAACAAAAATTGTCCAAATCCGTTAATAAATGACGGAGTTCTGAGGTAGCAAACATAAAAAAAACAGCCGAATTGAGAACTTCCTCCTTTTTGAGGAAGTCGGTTGAAAAACCCTCAGTCTCTGCCATGACCATAATTGCTGTAAGACATTCGAAACGTCGGAAACCAAAAATCATAATAAATCGTCGAAAAAATCTAAAAACTTAGTTTTATTTAAAACTAAATTAGCTTGATTCTCCATACAAACTTTCATCCCCTTAAGGGATGATTTCTGGAATAAAAATCTTATGGGGAATAAATAAATATAAATAAATCTTATAAGGAATAAAAACTATCCTATGTCCTTTCCAGGGTCTCAAACTATCTTCTTACCAAATTTCATCTAAGTCGGTACAGTAGATCCAGAGATTACCCCCTACAACTATAATATTAGTATAATAATATACATGTCAAATATTCGCGTAAATCTAGGCACGTACTAACTACGAAAAGCTTCAAATATAATACTATGTACATTTTCATTTTAATACCAATTATGCTACTAGAGTTTAGGTGCTACAGTTATATACGGCTGAATAAGCTCTAGTTTGTACCTGACACGTGAATTGGCCCGTGCATAGTCCTGCAACGTGGTTCACGTTCAATATCGCAAATAACACGATTTATGGTCTGGAACAACTACGTTACACTTCTATTATATATCTTCAACATATACAAACGATTGTGTAAGTGATTTTTAGTCTTAGCAAAAAATTTGTACATATAATAAACAATCTGGGTTCTTCTATTGATATTTCGTAAAAAATGACAGAGGTAGGTTTTGGGTTCAAAATGCAGTAGAAAATAGATTTTAACCGACTTTAAAAAAAGGAGTTTTTCAATCCGAAAAGTTTGTTTTTTGTAATATTATTGGAACTGCAAAATATTCACATAATATGATATATAGATATTTTTTACAAGAATCCCTATTTGTCATTAAAATAACCTCCTTTAGCGCGAATGCATACAGTCAAACGCTTGGTAAAATTTTCCACAATTTTCCGCACTTCCTCAACAGATATTTTGTCCCACTCCCGTGTAAGAGTAGCTTTCAGGTCATCAACAGTTCTATGAGGCGTAGAACCGGTCCTTGCCTCTAATATTGACCATATACTGTAATCCATTGGATTCAGATCAGGCGAGTAGGGTGGCCATTCTTTTGAGCTGATGAAATCAGGGAAATTGCTTTTGCACCACTGTTGAACACTTAAAGCTCTGTGAGCTGGAGCAGAGTCCTGTTGAAATATCCATAAATGGTTACCAAAGTGCTGTTGACTCCATGGAATAACCACAGATTCAAGGATGTCTTGTCGGTAATTTTCTTGGTTAATTTTTATACCATTTTCTACAAAAACGAGGGGAGTTTTACCAGTGGCGCAAATTGTACCCCAAACCATAATTGATTTTGCGTTTTGGCAACGTGGAATGACTGCGGCAGCTTCAGGACGAGTGGAAGACCAGATCCTGTCATATTGGTGATTATTCTTATTTCTTATTATTCTTGTAAAAAATATATATATCTATTAGGGCTTCTTAACAAGTATATAAAATTTTATAGGTATATGTATGTACGTTTGTATGTATGAGGTGTGTATGTATGTCTGTCCACGCATTTTTTCATTATCTTTTCACAATGCAACCATTTAAAATAGTGTAACAAACTAACGTCACCTGACTTTATTTATATAAAGATAAAGAAAAGTGTTTTTTGCACTAATTAGTAGTCCTACAGTGAATAACATGTAATACCTAGTTACAATAATATTATTGAATTAAAAGATAAAAGCAAAATGATAACATATCGGACCGACCAACTGCTTGCACTTACGTCTGTTTATTAAGTTACGTGACATCTACACTTTATTTTGCGGTTTTCAGGTTAAATATAAATAAAAAACATATAGCGCATCATTTGAAAACGAGTGGCTGGTTTGGCCAATTTTGTGACGTAATTGTTCGAATAAGATTAGTAGGGAGAAAAGTGGAAAACGTCTCTTAGATCATCTAGTTTTTATTTTAAACTGTAAACTTGCGGTCTGACTTCAAAATGTACTTTGTAAATATTAAAAATAATATTATTATTAAGTTTTTACGTTTCTAATTTGTGATGTTGTAGGGGATAATCTCTGAATCTACTGAACCGATTTAGATGAAATTTGGCAAGAAGATAGTTTGAGACCCTGGGAAGGACATAGGAAACTTTTATGCAGGAAATCATCCTTTAAGTGGGTGAAAATTGGGATGAAAGTTTGTATGGGGAATCATTCGCTTGGGTGAGTCGCTAGTTAAAAAATATACTAAACTATTGAGCATAAACGCAAAAAACCCGGGCGAATAGTAGAGTACATTCACTTTTACTGAGACAAGTCAAAAATAAGACTTGAAAATATAATTACAATTACATATTAATGAAAATTAAAACTTGCAATTAATGCGTGTAATTTGACACCTGCACGTGTTCGGCCGCGGTTCGGCTCTGAAGGTGTTCTCAAGGGCCCTCGGCCACGTGACACGATTATAGTGTATTGTATGTCACTAGAGAGTGATTCTGGCCACTTGTAGTGTTAATTTAGGGATGGTTCTATTTTATTGACATTACTACAGGTAGACTAGATTCTTAAGTATACGACAACTAGGGTTGCCAGCATTTCTTCGGCGAAATATAGTATTTTTCAAAATAAGGTTAAAAAATATAGTAGGTACAATTCAAAAAAATATAGTATTTTATGGAAAAAAAATGTTTATTTTTATAAAAACTAAACTTTTGCACTTTTTGCATTTTTTAACATTTTTTTGTCTAAAATAAAAGTGTCATAATACCCACTTTATATTTATTATTTCTATATGAAAATACTTATATTGTAAAACCATACAGATAAATTAAAGAATAAATATACTTTTTCATTTATAATATTAGAGATTACGAAAAGTATATTAAATAAAAGCATTAGGTACTTTAAGAGTGCCGATTCTGAATTCCTAAAGTTAATCCAAAGGGTAACGAGGGATTCCATATTGCTTTAAGATTAGATTACACCTCCCCTGTATTGCGTTTCCAGTTGTTAGGGCTACGGCCTACGGGCACGCCACCCTTGACACGAGACGAAATGCTGATGAAAATTTAAGATGAATAAAAATAAGCTATAAAATTAAATGTATCATGTTAAATAACATAATATGTAATTCGTCTGAAATATTATAAAGAGGTAATATTTGTTTATATTTTTGTATAAGTACTATACATTCTAAAACTACCAATTTTATAGTAGGGGAGCCCACGATGCTAAATGGGGATTTACTCGAGCGTCGTAGAGACCTACTGGGATGCAAAGCTTAGATGATAAGAAGAAAAAAATGTTATATGATATATACCTTTACATCGGTGGGGGAAGCGGCTATAGATTTTTAAATATGTAAAAAAAACTGTTGCATAGACATCCTCGAGCGCGTCAGATATTGATAGCATCAATGCCCTATGTATTTTTAATAATGTACGTATGTTAATCTGGTCGTTTGCATGATGCGGGTGGTTGTATTTAAGGGTTGAAAATGAAAAAAAAATTTCATCGAGCGCGTCAGATTTTCTAAGGGAGTGTTAAGTGCACCAAAAAAAAGCTCTCATTCACTAATCTGACGATTTCGATGGGACGCAAACTCGCGGCCATTTTCATAATGTGCAAAAAAAATCGCCATTTTGAAATGCTCAAGTGCTCAAGTGCGTCAGATTAAGATATATATGGTTCATTTTTATGTTCTAAACGTACTGTCTCATAATCTGACGATTATCTAGAGGGATTCGCCTGATCTGACAAAAAAAAATAGAAAAACGGTTCACCTTAAAGGCCATACCTGCAACTTCCCGCTAATTCCATTCCTGGGCGCTTAAAATTGTACTTATGACATTTTTGAGCTCAAAATATAATTCATGTGATATTTTAAACTCGCTGAGTTCAAAGAAATAATATTTCTATGCATTTGAGCTCTCCCAGCTCGAAAGTCTGATAGAAGTTTCATAGAACACTATTTTTGGAATTTTCAAACCGCAATAACTTTTGAATAGATCAAGCAATTTTCACGCGGTTGACGCCATTCGACGCAGTTTTATCATCCTCGTAAGTTATTTTCAGGTTTTAATTGATCGAACCAAAAATTTAGGAGTAATTCCGAAAAAAACACTTTTTCGGTTTTCTTTCGTTCACGATATCTCTCGAACGAATCAACCGATTTTGACCGGATTAGCGACGATCGGCGTGGTTTTTCTTGCTTAAGGGCGGATTAGTTTTTGAAGTTAATTAATAAAGCCGGTTAAAAGTTATCCCAAAAAACCCACTTTCAAAAAAAATAATCTTATTTTTTTTGAGGTTTTTCAAAATTTCTCATAATCTATCGGTCCGAATCGGTTCAAATTCACAGGAAATCTAATTTTGAGGGAAATCTTTAGAATGCCGTTTAGTAGATTCCGATCGGTTTAGTCGTTGAAAAGATATAAGCGAGTCACACATACACACACACATATATACATACAGACTTAGTGTCAACATCATACACGGGGGTAGTCAGGGAAGCTTCCTATGACCTTAAAACGTCAAGATCTGAAAAGTCGATTTTCGAAAAACGGGGTAAAACCAATAACTTCCCGATTTTTTTTTAATCATTGAACTTAATTAATTGAAAAGCCCAGGAAATAGCATGCAAATAAATAAGTGTATGCTTTTTTAGTAGAATACATGTATTTATAAAAAAATTACTTAAAAAAAAGCTTAAAACAATTTAATGTTTTATAATTAATTGATTAATTAATCATCATCTTCATCCGTAGAATCATCTTCCTCTTCTGGCTCAATTTCATCCTCAGTTTGCGTATCTGTAACAAAAAATTATTAAAATATTTAACAATATTTTTGTTTATGAACAACGTGTTTTTTTTTAATTATTGAAGAAAAGAAATACCTGATTCTGGAGTATCTTCAAGAATATCAGGTGTTATGACTACATCTTCGTACGCTTTCGGCAATTGGTCACCTGCAAACCAGTTCATTTTAAATTTCCCGTCGACAATTTTCCATCCATAGTCCGTTGGTAAAAGATCAGTAATTTTTGCATTATGGGCATTACTCCATAAGCATGTAATGAATTTTGTGCGTAACACTTGCTGGAGTAACTCCGATTCACAGGGTGGCAAGTTGCACGCATCGTAATTCCGGACACTCAAGGAGAAGGGTTGCGACTTGTCTTTTACTTTGTACGTCTTATTGAAGATGACAATCCTGGCTTGATTGACATCGTCTAACTTTTTCAACCCATAGAAGTGGCAAGTAAAAGACTATAATGTTAAAAGAATCCTGCACATTATGCTCTTTTGATCCCAAATCCAGAAATGCTTCTTGGAAAATTTCTTGCAACCTCAGTAGACATTGAATCAACAGTACCACGTGCTTCGGAACACTGTCCAGAATCAGGAGCATGTGTTTCGGAGCTATTTCCCGAAACTTCCGGTGTATTGTCATGTTCCACTACACTTTGATTTTGTAAATACTAAAAGTCTCGCGGTATTTTAATTGCAGTAAATTAATTCACACAAATAATATTAAAATAGCAAAAAAAGCCAAAACGTTGGAAACACGTTGTAAACAGTATGCCACGAATGAGTCTTTATGATCAGCTGTGATGGCGTCACGGCGGCAGAAACCAGAGTGGGGACGGAATGAGAGAGTACTAGATAGAGAAAGAGTGAGAGAGGAATAGACACGCGGAGAAGGAAATGTAGGCATCACGCAGCTGCACGCATTTAACTTTATCGACGAATTTTTGTTATTTCGGCTTGGGGAAATCATCAGATTATATATTTTTCATTATTCTTGAATTATTTCCTTCAAAATAAAAAAAAATTTAGCTACGCTCGAGAATATCGAGATGACGTTTTTTTTTACAACTTTGTTGCCCTCCCCTTTTTTTACGTCACTCAAATTGTCAGATTAGTGGAATATACACTTTTTAGGATGTAATTAACTCACCCTACCTTAATCTGACGCGCTCGAGAATTTCTGATGGTCAATTTTTTTTTACTAATCTGATCCTGTATCCTTCACGGGCGGCCTTATATATGGGCCTCATGTTTTGTGGAGGTACTTAACCGGGTACAAGGTATCCCCCTGTATATTAATCTGCCGCGCTTTAGTAAATCCCGGAATCCCCGCTTGGGCTCCCCTACTATTAATAATTATTCATGTAATGGATCCCAGAGTACCTAAATTGTGTGCTTTAAGCCGATCTGACAAGGTTTTTGTATTTAATCGTCACGTTAATAGAGAAAAAAAATTGCCTTTACTGTAATTGTGCTTTAAATGTATGTAGTTTAGAAGTTAAACGCATAACTCCAATACCATTTTCAGTTCACATGTCAGTATAATATATTATGTAAACGACGTCAACAAGCAATAAATAACACAAATCTCTCTGTTACCCTTTATAGTACTATTAATAAATAAGGACGTCTGACAAACAATGCAGGTCCGTTCATATATTGAATACACTATGTACGCAATAACGATTCTCTCTTGCATGGGTAGGTATAGGGTAGTGCTCTCTGGTAGATGCGCTTGTATGGCGATTATTGGAAACCACTTGTAGATCGTATGAATATATCGTTTTCAGGTAAAATTTCGAATTAAATTATCTATATATATATGTAAAGTATAATGAAATTGCGAAATGGTAAAATATTTTTTTTTATTGGAAAAAATATGCCGGATTTAGGATTCAATCTACTTAGTTAGGATACTTGAAAAATGCACTTAAATGTGCTATTACGACTACTACATATAAATGGTCAAAGGGCCTGACACCTAGTTAGGAATAGTTATTAATTGAATGTTATATCAAGCATTTTAAACGTGCATCAATTCAGAACGTCTAGGCGGTTTTCTGTATGACCTCTCTTAACAAGTCGAGAGGCCGGATTAGATACACAACAAATAGGTTGTTTGGTAACAATATATTATAAGTATGAAAATATACACACGTTAAATAATACAAATCAACTGATAGATTTTTCATTGTCTTTTTTCCAATATCGTTGTAGTCAAACAATAGATTAAGTAAAATTGCGTTCTCCAAAAACAAAAGAGCTAGAATATTAGAAGCCTGTATTTATTTTCCAATGTAGCTACCAGCTTTACTTTACTGGCTATAAAGGAAGATTATAATAATTATTAATTTATACATACCTATAATAAAATTGTAACTAAGCCGAATCTGTACATTAAATATTTTTTGGAAAATCTTATTAAAATAGATATTATTATCGAAACAGAGGCCGAATCTGTAGTTTTTAGAATTTTTGTCTGTCTGTCTGTTACCGCATCACGGAAATACCACTGGAGGGATTGTGATGAAATCTGGTATAATGATAGCTGGTTATCCGGGTCAACAGATAGAGATTTTTTCCCGCAGTTAAAAGTATCCTATATGTTGACCCGGATAACCAGCTATTATCATACCAAATTTCATCAAAATCTGTCCAGTGGTTTTTTCGTGATGCAGTCACGGACAGACAGACAGAAAATTCTAAAAACTATAGAACGTAATAGTATGTATCGACAATAATGTCTTTCTCTAAGATTCTGTGTTTCTAATAAGATTTTCCAAATTGTACGATATTATATTATAATTTTATCATATAACATAGAATTTTATTATATGTGCAGATTTCAAAAGAGTAAAAATGATGTACTAAAAATGTTAAAGCTTCAATTTAATTTTGAACTTTAGCTAAGTATTTAAGCTTTATCCAAGGTAGGGAAGCACTCCGAAGGAAAACAAAATGTCAAATGCTTACTTATTACAATAATAAAAAAAAAGAACTATTACTAAAAACTATTTGTCTGTAATCTATATACTAAGAAATAAAATTGTTTGTAATGTCAAAATAACAGCTTTTTACTAAATGTATATGAAAGCATGTAAGGTCCTTATAAGAAAAAAGACATCAATTTTTATAATTTTTGTTTGCCTGCCTGTTTATTCCGGCTAATCTTAGAAACGGCTGAACCGATTTTGATGAGACTTTCACTGGTAGATAGCTGATGTTATAAGGAGTAATTTTGGCTACTTCAATTTAAGAAAAAGAATAAGGGTTCCACGGAAAAGCTAAGTGACGGTTCTAAATAATAAGCTGCATTTTATCTTATTCGAACTTTAAGCAATTAAAAAAGCTGCAATATTTTTAAATAAACAAAAAAAAAGCAAGCATCAGAATGATTACTCGTACATAACAAATTCATAAAGCCGCGATGGTTGATTATTCTGGATGTATTCCCAGTACGCTAGTATACATCGATCCGCTTTTCCACCGAATTGTTTTAACACCCCAAGAGGAAAATGCATTTCCATTTACTCTGAAGTGGCTGTGTGTATTTATATGTTAAGTACACGTTAACTCTACATCTATACCTACAAATAAATAAAATTGAAGCGTCTGTTTGTAATGTCAAAATAACGGCTTTTTAATGCTAATGAAGTTAGATACGGTACTTGTGAAAAAACAGAACTTTTAAAATTTTCGTCTGTCTGTATGTTTTGTTGTTACGCTCAAAATAATTAAAACGAATCTAGGGACCCATCCGAACGAGGCGAGGGAAAGTCGCTAGTAAATAATAAAATACTGCTATTAGTAGAATAAATAATAGCTCAAAAATGGCTTTCCATAAATAGATACATATATAATATAATACATATTTGTCTTTTCGTTACGCAGTAATCACTTGATTGATTTTATTTTATTATATGAGAATAAAATTAATTTTCCGCTAAGCTATAAAGGCAGATAGTTTTTTAACATTTTAAATAATAATCACAATATAGTATGTAAGTGTTATACGTTATCTAATTCATTCAATAAATAATTTTATAATTTATATTGTAGTTTCACGCATTTAAAATAAAAATTAGGAAACCTTTTTAAAAGCTAAGTAAAAATACATTTTAATCTACACAAAAACTTCGTATTCACAAGTCAGACATACTAAGATGAAGACTAAGGGGTATGAGAGGATACTTCTTTTGCTCGTCGTACATATAAATTTCTAAGTACATTTCCACTCTGCACATGCGACATCCTTCTAATAATGTTGTCTAAAATTTCATGTTGTTTTATTTGTGTAGTTTTTATTTTCTAAATTGTATGTACAAACCTTTTGGTGTAAGTCGTTTGGTGATCCATCGGTTATCCTCCAGTGATACAGCACTTTAGATACAGCTACCTGCAAATATATATGTTTTGTTTATCCACATAAACATATAATGCAGATCGGGAATAGGAACGTTTTCGAGTAGTTAAAAAATTGTGAATTTGGCTTCTACAACATTCAAATTGGGTATTATTTCATAATGGATACATTATGATATTTTTTTTATTTTATCACTAGCATTGCCCGCGGCTCCTCCCGCGTTCAGATGACTAAAAACCAAATCCTTAGGTTTTACATATTAGTATACTCTTACATAGAAGTTTTTGTATTTTTTCTCAAAAATGAAACATTTTCCTGCGGTAAAAAGTATCCTATATGTTGACCCGGATAACCAGCTATCACCACACCAAATTTCATCAAAATCCCTCCAGTGGCTTTTCTGTGATGCGGTAACAGACAGACAAAAATTCTAAAATCTATAGATTCTGCCTCTGTATCAATAATAATGTTTATTTCAATAAGATTTTCCGAAAAATATTTAATGTACAGATTCGGCTTAGTTACAACTTTATTATATGTATAAATGTATGTAAAAATGTTATTTTCTCTATAATCATTAAAAAAATCTAAAATACATGGTTATATAGATAGTACGTTTGTTACATGTACAAACTTTCACACATATATACATTTCTAATATCAGATTTTAATCATAATATCAGAAAGTTAAACAGCAAACTTATAATCAGAGCTGAGTTTAAGTCATCATTTAACCGAGGACCGAGGTAAAGCTTCAAGCATTTATCCACACTCAGACGGCTCATCGTTGCAAAATGAACATTTAATTTTGCGAAGCGAATGATAAAATTGTGTAAAATATGACACGTTTTCAAGTAGCAGAGAAAGTTGTTTTCTTCTATTTTAGACGTACCTATATTACATGTGATATATTGTACAATATGGTTTAAGTGAAACTTAATCAAGATATATATGTTTTACATTAATTTATGTATATTATTATATAATAAAGATGACACATCATACATTTATATTATAAATGCTTAAGTTTATGAGTGTCTGTATGTATGTGTGTCCGTTACTTCTACAGGTTTCGTAGGAGCTTAACGGATTTGAGGGAGATTGTTAGAGCTTAGAAGCGCTTATATTCTGGATTAAAACATAGGGTGTTAATCAATGTACCTTCCTTGCGAGTGAATCCGGCCGTAAAAACTAGCAGATTATATTCATACTAATATTATAAAGTTGAAAGTCTGTGAGGATGGATGGATGGATGTTTGTTACTCTATCACGCCAGAACGGCTGAACGGATCTGGATGAAATTTGGCACAGAGATATGTAGATTATAGTCCGGAATAGCTTATATGTTACTTTTTATCCCGGAAATATGGACGGTTTTCGTGGGATAGTTTGTTTTTTCTAGGGAAGCGAAGCGAAGGTACATAAATCGCTAATAATAAATATGTTTTATTTAAATCACTTGAGAGTTGAGACGTTCTTGTGACCGCATAATTAGTAGGCAATCTTTTAAATGGATGACCCAAATCTCTTTGAAATTAAGAAAAAAAAATTGCATTTAGCATGTAAACATAAGCAGATTTTTGTTCCGCGAAATCAATCGCATCCCATGAGATAGAGACAAGATCATAATTATGTGGGAACTATTTACATCAGTACATCTCAGGGGTCGAGGATAGTAAGAAGCTACCTTACAATACATGGATTAAACATTGAAATGATCTGATTGGATAATAGAGCATATTAATGCGTGGACGAGGAGTCCTTATAGTGGCACTCGTCTGCGGTAGATAGTGTATTAATAATAAATAAAATAAAAATAGTTTTTATTGCTTAATCATTTATAACATTTTTTGTGTTCGAGTCTTCCCAGTAAGTAATCCGGAGGATACTTGTGTTGGGAATGGCCCGCTTCTTCCCATATGCATAATCTATGATTAAGTTAAGATTATTGCATGTACAGTTTTACTAATGTTAATTTATTATGTTTGGAAAATTACTATTTAAAAAAAAAAGGTAAGTACATGTGAGTAGAACACCAAGATATAAACAAAGTCATTCGTATGCTAGTTTTCAATAACAGTTACAAGATGATCTAATCGATATTAATAATACAAATATATACATATTAGTTAAGAATACAAGTTATATGTAAGTTATAAATGAAATTAAGTAAGTACAGATTAAGTGTGTGTGTGTGTGTGTGTGTGTGTGTGTGTGTGTGTGTGTGTGTGTGTGTGTGTGTGTGTAAGCTTGAGTGAGTGTGAGTGTGTGTGAGAGTGAGTGTGAGTGTAGATATGCCTGTATTGTTCTTTAAGAGCGTGTATGTCTATTTTTTTGCATGCTATTTAGCCTAAATGGCTTGATAGCTTAGCTATGAGAGCTTCTAAAGTAGTTAAAAGTACTTAAATAGGCATTTGAAATAAATGTATGTATTATAAAACTTTTTAGGTTTGGTGATATCGTTAAAAAAATTAGAAACACTTTCTATATATTATATAAGTTACCTATACATAGGTATATGTTCATTGTTCATATTTATGTTTTCCTCAATTTTCAATAATAGTTATGGGTCAAATTTCGATCGCTAGGCGAAAACTAGTTTATTTAAAAAGATTGACGACACGTTTGGCTCAGTTTGTAGTGACCCTACTTGCTGTGCCAGCGGTCGCGGGTTCGAGTTCCGCTTGGGGGACTCATTTGTGTGATGAGCAGGAATAATTGTACTCCAGTTATGGGTGGTTATATTCATAATAAATACGTGTAGCTCATGAATTATCGTATTCATAACACAAGCCTCGTAGCTTACCATGGAACTAGATGGTGCTGTGTGTTAATGTCCCAACATATATAGATATTTATTTAAAGGCTGGTAATGTACCAAGTAATAACTATCTACAATACGTCTCTATACTATGTGTAAAGTTATTTGCTTACCTATGTCCTCGGGAGGGGGCGCGGAGCGGGGCCGACTTAAGTCGCACCAACGCCATCTGCCCCCGCCTGGCGAAAATAATGTTATTTATTTAAAATTTAAATATTGTTTTATGAAACTATTACCAAAATTGATTAATTATGATTGATGACTATTATCAAAATTATATTTTTTTGTTTATACGTTAACGCGACCAGAGTCATAGGCGAAAACAAGTGACCATATGTCTTGAAATAAATAACAATTTAATTTTAGAAAATATTTGGTATAAGTTGTAGGTTACAAAATTTACTGTTAATTTGATTATATTGTGTCCAATTTTTATAGCACAATGTTTTGTAAATGCATTCTTCTTTCATAGACATTATTTATCATGGCAGCATGCCTATATTAAAAAAAAAAAAACAATAAAAAATTTGAAACATATTTGTTTTTATATCAACAAAAATGTATATTTTTATGCATAGTTAAAAATAATAAATATTTTATTTATTAAAGCAGAATATTACAATATAGGTAATAATGTTGTATTAATATACTCAATAATTTCAGAAGAAAGCCTAATGAAATAAAAAAAAAACAATGGTTACATTAACTAAATGCGTTTAAAACTGCAAATTTTATAGGAATGAATAAAACAATATTTGCACTTTAATGTTTAATCTATAAACAAATATCAAACTCCTATACTTATTTAAATACTAGTAGAACCCGCGGCTTCACTCGCACTAATATTACAAAAAATCCCTAATAACGTAGTTTCATACAAACTTTCGTCCCCTATTTTACCCCCTTATTAGATGAATTTCAAAAAATGCTAAAACACATATTTATTCAATTTTATTGAAGAGCATTAATACCAAGTTTCAAGTAATTCTGATCATAAATATTTTTTGGGATTGTATTATAATGGGAAATAAATAATCTCCCGCGGTAAAAAGTATCCTATACATTGACCCGGATAACCAGCTCTCACCATACCAAAATTCATCAAAATCTCTCCAGTGGTTTTTCTGTGATGGGGTAACAGACAGACAGACAAAAATTCTAAAAACTATAGATTTGGCCTCTGTATCGTAATCATGTTTATTTCGATAAGATTTTCCAAAAAATATTTAATGTACAGATTAGGCTTAGTTACAATTTACTTTAAAAATAGTTGCAATCCATCCATTAAACATTGACATAGTGGCAATTGGATTACAATTTGACCTTTCATAAGTGTCAATACTGTTAGATTATTTAGATAGACAACATGCTTTGTATTTAAAAAACATGTTTATAATAAATATAATGTGATACTGATGACTCATAATTAAATGCGGCTGCGATTTAGAATTGGGGACTTGGCCCCTAGCGGAGTGGGTGGTATTTCTGGATAAGGGACGTGATAGGAAGTCGAAATGTTAAATAAAAATTGTCCGCGAACGTATGAGTAAAAATTTATTGAGACTTAAAGTTACAACATTTCCATACATTATTTTGACATTACTACCATTTAGACACTTGAGTCAAAACGTCACTTTCAATTGTCAAAATGATCTCCAGATGATTGTCTTTATTTGTACTTTGCGTGAAATTCGAATTTTCTAGTTTTCTAGTCATTTATGGCACTCGCTGGCCGCTACCGCGGCACGCTCGCTTCGCTCGCTCGGCTCGTGCGTTGTGGCAACTGTTCTAACCTAACCTAACCAAGATATGAGGAATAATAAATAAATAATCTTAAATGTTCTAACCTAACCTAACCCAGATATGACGAATAATAAATATATGATCTTAAATGTTCTAACCTAACCTAACCCAGATATGACGAATAATAAATAAATAATTAAAAATATTCACAGATAAAAAAAAGATTTTTTTTACTAAATGTACAATTGTAAAACAATATATTTTACATAAATCAGATAAAAAATCATAAATGTATTTATGAAATGAAAATAATATTTTTCTTTTTATTTATTTATTTATTAATATTAATATTTTACCAACAGAAAAAGCAAAAATAATCAAATATAATCTGTTGTCATTTAAGCGGTAATATAAAACAAAGTGTCAGTTTTGCTTTTGTCAAAATGTAAGATCATTTTGTTTGTGTTGTGAAATTATTAAAATATTAAATACAATAAAGCATTAATTGTTGTGAAAATGTGTAATGTACATAAAAAAGGATGCGTACTATTCGTTAAAGGTATGTTTATCTGTTGTAATCACTTATTTAGGTAAAGAAATGTATGGAAATGTGTTAGATATGTTATAACTTTAAGTCTCAATAACTTTTTACTCGTACGTTTCCTCCAAATATTTTTAATATATTTTGACTCTCTGTCACCTCCCCTATCTAAAAATACCACCCACTCCGAATGGTGGTAAAGAAATATATGAAAATGTATGGAAATGTTGTAACTTTAAGTCTCAATAACTTTTTACTCATACGTTCGCGGACAATTTTTATTTAACATTTCGACTCCCTATCACGTCCCTTATCCAGAAATACCACCCACTCCGCTAGGGGCCAAGTCCCCAATTCTGAATTTGTGCCTTAAATGCACTAAATATTCATTAATAGGTTTCGTTACACAACAGATAACAACAAAAAATGAAATTATAATAAAATTAGAAGCTATTATTTTTATTAAATCATTAAAATATAAGTATAGGAATCATGTTATTATTTATTTTTGTTATATTTTTTTAATCCCAATGTATAACTTCTATGTATCAATGGAAATTATATTCCAGCAAAAGAATAAATTGCTCTCAAAGACACATACAATATAATTTATTGTAAGACTAGTGTAAATCTATCATTACAACATTTAAGATATAAAACGAGATATAAAGTAAATCTATGAGTAAATCTTATTCGGCTTGACATATTTTCATAAAGTGGTCTCAACTTTACTTTCCTAACTTTGGAAATATGTATTCACTGCAAAAGAATTGGATTTTAAGTTAAAAAACCAATTTAAATGTCATGGAAATTTGTTATAGTTTAGTACTATCATGGAAATTTAATCATTGATTAAGTACTAAAGTATAATTATGTAATATAATCTAAAATATAAACATATAAGTACGAATAGTTCAAAATTAATATATCAACAGAGTCTTAAAACTAAATAAATTTTGTTGGTTTTTACCTGTAATCTATTATATTATTTTAGAGCTATTGTGCAGCAGCAGTGGCAATTGTATGAAGCATTTTACTATTTCATATAGTAATAATTATATTAAAATAAAAAAAGAAGAGAGAAAACTAATAAGATCCGTAAGGCCTACCAATAATGAGAATGGTTTATCAATAATGGGCAGGTAGATTCTTATTTGTTCTATATACCTACGTAATATAGGTGTTGAACGATTGTGATATTCACACTGTAATTAAGTAATCTAATATGCTAGAATCTAATTGAATATTAACCATTAACATAAAAATGATATAGGAAATCACATTTTATACACAAAGTTCGTAAAAACTTCGTTAAATATTTAGCAGCATCGATACTCAAAAATGTCTTTACCTGTGAATAGTAGGAAGAAACAAATTATATGTGCAAAATGAAAAAACTAATACTTACCATTTTATGAAATATTATATAGATTTCACCTTTTTCTTCACTAAATCATTGAATAATTCGAAAAATCACAACAAATCTCCCACCTATACAACCGCTTGCAATTTCTTCGGAAGCACAGGCCCATATATATCTATACTCTTTGCACAGGCCACAGATATAAAAATTAAAAAATAAAGATCTACAAATGTTTAAGTTTAGGATCTGCTAAGGATAACAGTTATTGCCATTTTAGAAAATGCATATGCTTATGGTATGCAAGCTCTCTAGAGCTTACTTGATTGATAAAAAGGAATGTAATAAAACAGCATCAAATATTATAAAAACATTTTATTGTATATTAATTATTATTTTAATAATTTAATATAAATAATATTTATGGTACTCTGTTTTGTTTTTGCATTGACTTATGTCGGGTCCTTGACAGAAAGAGCTGTCAATTTGGTCAAGATTTAATTTTGTAATAAATATAAATGTACTAAAGATTATTTTGCAATAAATAAAATATTTCTCAGTTACAAGGTACTTCATATTAATTCATAAGTTCATTTCATTATTAATATAACATTTGTTAAAACAAAAACATACATAGGCGTGATGTAAGAAGGCGAATTTTAAGTTACATGCACAGTTTTCACATGATTTCCCAAAGTGAATAGATTGAATTTAATATGTAAAATACAGAGTTTTGGATTTGTTTATTATAAAATGCATATTTTTCTTACAGATGTTGAAATTTAGCGGGTTAGTAATTTGGAGGTTAGGTTCACGAACTACTTTAAGAAATTATTCCGCTCCTGGTGTAACTGTTTTTAAAGCTGATAAAGCAGATTCAGTAAGAAATATATCTGATAAAAGTGCAGAAGCTGCGGACATAGGAGCGAAAGAAGGTTCAAGTAAGTGATAATTGTAAAAAAGTAGCACCTAGCTAATTAACTTTTAAGATATTTGTTTTTATAATAAATGTGTTATATAATATTAAAAACTATCGTTAATGTTTTATAAGTATAGTTTTTATAGTTAAGTTATTATTTTAGCATATGAAAAATTTACAATAAGAGTAATATAATTATAATATTTTTTTCGTCTTCCTTAACTTATATCCAGAGTTATAAGTATTAATAAATATCATGTAAATCATTTAGATTTGGTTGCTGCTGCATTTGCATCATTGAATACTCCAGAAGATGAATATAAAAAGAAGCCTAGTCCAAAATCATTGAAACTGAGTCGTGTTCAACAACTTGATACTGAAATTTTAAAAGCTACTGATATAAATACCTTGCTAGTGGTTGCTGAAAATCCAGTGGTGTCCAGGAGGCATGCATTGAAGGTTTATATTCATATTTTGTATATGAAGATTAATTTAAAATGTCCTAGATTTAAGTTTGTTTTTATCAATTTTATCAATAAAAGGTTATACTGATACTGATTATATTATGAATTTGATTTACAGATGGTATCAGTATTGTCAGAATGGTCAAGTAGTAACAAAGTTAAGATATCTGACTTTGAAAAGGATCCTAGATTTCTTAAACTATGTCGTATATTGGGCAGAACTCCGGCCAGTCAAGCTATGAGTTCATTAACAATGGCAGAAGATTTAAGTACAGTTCTGGGTATTACCGGTGATGATGAAGCAGCAAGATTGATTGCTAATTTATCATTACCACAAATGATTAAGGTATGTTGCAGTAATTTTTAAAAATATTTTTATTTATTTATCCTAAAAGATAGGCAGTGAAAGCCCAATGGTAATGCGCTCGCTTGTGAAACCAAGTGAAGTGGGTTCAAATCCAGGGTCTCTCACATTCATATTTTTATGTGCGAATAATTTCCAACAGGATTACACTTGTGATACGGTGAAGGAAAAAATTGTAGGGAAACCTGTAAGTCTGACAGAACCTAACAAGTTTTCGAAAGACATGTGAAGTCCATCAACCTGCATTTGGCCTGCGTAGTTGTAAAAAGTGCTGAATTTAAATAATGTTAAAATAAAGGTGATGTTTTTAAAATCATCATAATCTCTCTGCCCATTTTCCACCTACTTGGGGTCAGAGCAGTACATGTTCGATACTGCTAATAGGATTTGGCAAAAGTTTTACGATCAGCCGCCTGCCTGACATGACACTTCCTTGGGAATGTAATATTTTTAAAATGTGTCACTTAATATGTAAGAAATATTTTGTAGTGATTAAATATAGTATATTAATATTATCTATATTGCAATTTCAATATTTCTGTATAATAAATTTTAGGTAATGAAGGCCCTCCAACAAAAAGGTCGTCGAAGTACACCACTACTAAGAGCTCTTTCTTTCAATATTACTAAGCAACCAGAGACTATTGATCTCAAGAAATCAGCTGATTTGCTTTTCTCTATGGCGGCCCTAAGCTTTCCAGATCCAGTATTAATGGATAGGATATCTAGGTAAAATAAATATAAAATTTAAAATCATGCATTTACCTCTCAAGCTCTTAACAAACAACAAGAGTTTTTTAGTTAGTTGTAAGCTGATATCGACCTAAGGAATCCATGTCACTCTCAAGGCCACTCGCTCACTGTAGACTATAATATCAGTTTGTTGCTTCATATGTGTGTAAAGGAGGAGCTAACCAGGAAATCTAATTCTTAATAATATGATAAACTTATTTTTATAATATTAGTCCTAATTTTTGTTCTCATGCCCAAAATCAAAATGTTAATATTTTTATTGAGCATAAATTGTTGTATAAAATTGATTATTATGAATGAATTGGATTAGTAAATAAAAAAGTTCAGACGATCCCATTGATATACAAAAACTTAAGATACACAATTACCATCTTAAGAGTTCTCAAAAGGTCCCCAAAAATAAGTGCACAATTCAAATTTTATTCAAATCTCTTTTGTTAACTACTTTTCGGATGACATATGTAATTAAAATGCATGTTGCATTGTTTCAATTAAAAAAAGTAATTTATGTGTTGTGTGTAAGTTCAAATTTGTGAATTTTTGAATTTTATTCTTTGGTTTGACTTAACATCACATGTCACCTTTACTTTTGTAAGAATTATTTGTTAGGAAATGTGTATCTATGTTTTTATATATTAATAGATTAACCAGTTTGGAAAGAAAATGTCTACATTTCTGAGATAAGCCTTAACAAGATTATGTCAAACATTGCCTCTTCTATGCTTTAGAAGTCTTTGTATAAATGTCTTTGTAATCAAAGTATTAGTAGTTAGTTACTAGTTATATAATATTCTAAATAGCAAATGGCTTCTAATAATCTCATTGACTGAACATATTTCATTTCCAGCTTTAGGTTAGTTAGAACTGGATATTTAGTTATTTAACTACGGTGATGTCTGATGGAGCATTAACTATAATATCTCAGTCATTCGTCGCCAATCGTTATTAATATGCATATGTTTTTAAAAAAGTTCATAATATTTTTTAAATTTATAAAGTTTTTTTTTACAGTGACATTATCAACAATCTAGGTTCCAATAAAGACAAACCAGCCGTCATTAACTCCATACTTGTTTCTTTGGGACTTCTCAAATACCGCAATGAAGCAGTGCTCTCGGCTCTATCGGAATGGATAAAACAAAACATAAATGTGTGTAGGCCCGGAGATATAGCTTCTGCTGTCATAACTTTAGCTACTGTCGATTATTTACCAGTTCAAGCTGATTCTTTAATGGAGGTAATATATGTTTATTACTTGCTTATCTTTCCGTTGTTTCCTTCGCGCCGTTTATTTATATATAATTGCTCCTGTGCGGTAGAGGTCGTTGTATAATGTTAGAGCTTATAATTTTTCTCAACAAGTCTCTATAAATAAGAATGAATGTTTGTATGTTTGTCATCTATGACCCAAGCGAATCGAGGGTAAGTGGCTAGTATTTTTTTTTCAGGACTTCAACATATTAGTGCGTTGTTATAAACAAAATCTTCAGATTAATAATATAAATTGCTCTTTTCCCGAGATAAATCGAAAAACTAAAATTAAGAAAAGGTATTTAACTTTGTCCCCTCACTTTTAATTAAAGTGAGTCCCAGTCCAGTAAATAAATAGTTCTTGATGCATAATAGATAAGTCATAGTTTACTTAAGGTTTATTCTGCTTAATTTCCCAGACTAACAAGTATATCCCTATAGGTCAAGAGTTCCCAATAATTGGGGGCGCGCCCCCCTAGGGGGCCGTATAGTGACTTTATTTTGTATAAATTCAAATTAAAATAAATAAAAATCGTTTAAATAGCGTGTGTTTTATTATAATAAAAAAAAATATTTTTCCGGGGAGGTTTAAAAGAAATGTTGGGAAACCCTGCTATAAGTAAAGCATACCTTTCTAATCTTAACCGCTATGCACAAGTGAAAATACTGTCAAAACCAGTTTATTGTAACAAAGAGTAATAAGTTTTAGATCATCAAACATATATTTTTTTCTAAATATCTTCAAGTAATTTTATAAATTACAGGCTGCATTGTCATTAAAAGAGGATGAGTTGTCGAAGGCTTCGTCATGGCTGGACCTGGTCTTTTCTCTCCTGATTTTGGAGAAGGCAGAGAAACACCACCTGATGTCTACTCTAAAACCCGAGTTCATTGATAAATTACTGTCTGCTGGGGGTAAGTGACTTTAGATTTTATTTCGGTGTTATAAGGTTATTTTTTTAATGTTTGTCTGGCTATCTGAACTAAACTATAACTGCATATTTTGGCATACACTATGTACGTGCAACATCTTTTATCTATAAAGCTGTTAAGGCATTAGCCTTATTAGCCCCAGTCTCTAATATCGATAGATTCTTCTGAATGGTGCAGCATATAATTTTAAAAAGTCACATCTGCTAAACATTTTTTTTTTTCAATTTTTGTATTTTATTTTTTAATTTTTCGATATGTACTTACATATGGAAAAATTAAACATTATTTTCAATTCAATTCTCTTGTTAATGCTTTTAAAGTTTAACGCGTGTCAGTTAAAGTGCCAGATAACTTCGCCTTTACGTATAATGGAGAAGACACGAGAAGATTGGATATATGTAATATTATTTTTGTTTTATTACAGAAATACCTATACCCTCCCGTCGTAAACTAATGGCGATAGACGCATACGTAGGGCTCAAATTCCCACCAAACACACCACGGCTTGCCGAAGATATAGTTGTGGGCGTCCCTATCGTCTATACAAAGGAAAAAGCTCTTTATGTGCAAAGTATAATGGATACCTTCAAGAGCTTAGTTTCAGCTGAGAACTTTTTGAAGAAGGAATGTCAGTCAGGAATGGGATTTCTTTATGGTAAGTGTAAAATAAGATTCGAAGGTCCTGGGTTCGAATCCTGGGTCGGTACAAAATAATTACTAGTTTTTTTTTGTCACGAAATATTCTGTAGTTGTCTAGAGTTGGAAAGTCAGCTCTGTGTAAATCAAATCAAATCAAAATATACTTTATTAAAATAGACTTTTACAAGCACTTTTGAATCGTCAATTTTATATTTGTATATCCCCATGCTTCAGAGAGCATGTGTCGTAATACGATATCGAGAAAAAAAATGTTGAAATTATAATCTTTACACTGATTTTAATTAAAAATATATAAACATATTTCATAACAAAACAAACCTAAATGAGGTATAGTTTTACTTTAGTAAGGGAAAAATATTACTGTTTGGTTAAGCTTATATAGAATATATATTTTTTTCTATTACAGATGCAGAATTTGCGGTAGATTCAAAATGTCATCCAGTGCCCTTAGATAAAGTGAATGACAGAAATGAGTAATATACATATTATATTTTTTGTTTAGTTATAATTATGATTATTATATATTATTCAATCTTAAGTCTCATATACACCAACTGTTATTTATATGTGTCAATTTTCAAGGCGGACGGCGCAGAAATTGATATGTTTCAGCGCCATCTAGTGGCGAGTAATAAAACATGAATATGATCATTTTTCTTTTGATAAAGATCTTTTGGAGATTTGTGGTTTTGCTCAAATTAACATGAACATAATAATAAATAATAAAACAAGTGAAGCGGGTTCAAATCCTGTGTTTTCGCACATCTAATATTTTCATGTGCAAATCATTTCCAACATGATTACCACTTACAGTGAAGGAAAACATCATAATGAAATCTGCATGTCTGAGAGAACCTAGCGGATTTTCGAAAGACATGTTAGTAAACGCTGAGTACAATAATAAATAATTTTCTGTCTCATTTGTTTCAGTGTACACAGAATAGCAGTATTAGGCTTGGATTATCACGACTTGACCAGGAAGGAACCTGTTCCTCTCGGCGCAAACAAACTGTATAACAAATTATTGCAATTAAAGGTACTGTTTATTTTTGTTATTTAAGTGTATTTTAACATATCATTTAATGTAAATATAGCCATATATTGGAATTAGATTTTTTGTTATTTTAGCTGTCCTAATTTTAAATCCGGATGATATTATAACAGATTGATGATTCGTTTTGAAGACTCATGAATATAATTGTTGGTCAAAGTGTTTTTTTTTAATTTCGTAATAGTACGCGAATATTTGACATTTTAAATAAAACTATCTTTTCAGATATTTTCGCGGATTTATTTTGATTTTTGGTTTCCGATGTTTCAAATGCTTTACAGTGATCAAAGTCACGGGAGGGACGTGTCTCTCTATGATTGCTGTCATACATTCGAAACGTCGGGAACCAAAAATCAAAATAAACCCACGAAAAAATCCAAAAATATAGTTTTATTTATGGATCAAGATCCGGCTGCAAGATCTGCTGCATCGATTTTGTTCTAAAAAGTCAGTTATTTCATTAAACATACTAGCGGGCATATTTTAATAGGTACCCTTGGTCAAAACATATTGTCCCTTTTATTATTGTATATAAAAAAATGATTTTTATTAAATACGCTATGAACGTAGCAATCTTGCATCGGGATCTTAGTCCATTAGTAATAGTTATTAAACACTTAAGTCTGTCACGAGTTTCTGCTCGTGTTTTCACCCGTATAATAAATAAGAGGTTCCTTTATTTAGTATTCTTAATATAAATCAGCCCTACCAATAAGTAAGTATATGTAATATGGCCTACTGATTTAACTATATATAATTATGATGTTTTTAATTTCAGGGCTTCAAAGTCTTACAAATTCCATACACAGAATTCAACCCAAAAGACAAATTAGTCACGAGGGTCCAGTACATTGAGAAGCGGTTAAAGGAAATAGTCAACCAACAAAACCCCCATAGTGTGAGCTAGGTGTATATATAAATAGTAAATTATTGTATCTTTATGTTTATTTTTATTCAAACAGTACTTCACCTTTGTTGATATTTCATAGTGAGAGCAGAAAATAATTATAAATGATGGCAACACTGGAATAAACATGTGAAAAGTAATTTAATAACTAACAATAAAACATTAGGAAGCAATCATTTCCATTGAAACTAGATTTTTACCTACATATTTAATATAATATTAACCATTTTCAGTTTTTGACCAGTTTTTTTAATATGGTATATAGATTAGTATTATAGTAGGAGATTATTAGAAATCAGATTAGGGGACATTTACTAAATACGTCAGCTGTTTATCTCATAATTTGGAGCCCTCCCTCCCCCCTTGGTGAGATTTAGTGAGATTTGGTGGGACTATATATCCAACGCAGATGATTTTTCTTATATATTTAAGCTTCTATCAAGTAATAAATGTAAATATGCATAAAAGTGTGTTCAAAATATGTAACATACATAAAATAATAATGAAATCTAATAATAATCAATTTTGAAAAAAAAACACATGTGCAAATCTCCTCATAATATTCAACATTCTTTTTCTTATGACATATCTGTTAACATGGTCTTATAACTAAAAGTAAAGAAAGTCTTATTGAGAAGGTTTTGGTTTTTTAATAAGGATTCGATATATTTCATTTTTATTTATATTAGAATATGTGCATATTTTGTTTTTAAATATTTATTTATAAAAATAATTCTCTCTCACAACTAAAAAAAATTACATAATATATATTACAGTTAAAACTCTTTTAACTGTAATATATGTGTAAATTAATATATAATTCGAGAAATGAAGTTTCACGCACGTTACTTGCCACTATTAGCGAATAAGAGCTAGACAGACAACTGTAATATTTCGACCGTCACGACAGACACCATTATTTAATAAGAGCCCCCAATAAGTACCAGGCGAAAATAAGTGTTAAGGAGTGTATTCAATGAGTAGTTCGTATGCCCTGTTGTGACGGTGCCCTATATAATATATATATATATATATATATATATATATATATATATATATATATATACACGAAATGGATATTCCTTGAGGTTTCTAGTACTCGTGACCATTATTGTCACCAGTTATCCTGAGCTAAGTTCAGCCCATAATGTGTTTTTAGATATCATTAACTTTTGGAATATATGCAAAAAGTCTATAGTCCATTCGCGTTAAGAAAATAGTAAGTCATCAAGTGGCATATAAAGGTGTATTCAAAGTGGAATAAAAATTTAATTTATATAAATTTCATAATATAAAAATATATAATGATATAGTGATAATGACTTTATTTTGACTTGAGATAATTAATCAACTTAATTATCTCGATTAAAAATAAAGTCATTAATAATATATTTATTATTGACTTTAAAGTACATAAAACATTGTAAATTTCTCGTCTTTCTCCGCCATGAATTATCGATCCACTTTTATTCTTACGAATAGGTGAGGTACCTATTCATTTTAAAAATTTTGTTGTATATATCGCACAAATGATACAAACGGTTTCCTACGAAAGTCTGCCTTCAAGTGGTAATTGTGAAATATGACTTTATAATTTGATGCAACCTAATTGGTCGGTGGGCGTGGCTAGGCCGGTGGACAACGATGAATATCTATTTTACTTGACGAGAATGAACTATAAAATCTTTTATTACAAGTATCTACTAAGTGACCCCAATTTGATGTCATCATAAGTACCAGACGAGCATAAGTGTGTACTTGTGTAGTAAGTAGTTCGTATGCACTCTTATGACGTCGCCCTATATAAATATATATTGAGCACTCCTTGAGGTCTGTGGTCCCCTAGTACTCACTCTGTGTGCACACTTTGTGATGGCCTTTCTTTGATAAGCTTTTTAAGACCTAAATTATGAGCCAGGAGCAGACAACAAAAGGAACTTCGTTGCTACCGGGTGTTCCATGACACTTGTTGACTTTCAATCATTCACACTTCATTCACAATTCAATCATTCACTCCATTCGTATTAAATAAAAAATATAATTAATTACAAAATATAATTGTTGAGAAGGTAAATGTAAATCTAGACTGGTTTGATCTGCACCATCTTGCGTCAACTTATGTAACACACTCATGAAAAATAAATGATTACCTGACTTTGTCCACTGCTGGGATTAGTTAATTCAGAACTGATATATTTATTATACTTCTTTTAAACGACTTTAATAAATATATATGGGTGATATCACTAATTTGGCCTATGAGCAGTCTTATAAATCATCTGATTATTACCCAAGTATTATATATAAAAATCAGCTTTTATACTATAACGTAAGTAGAATTATGATTTCATGAAAAGGGTGTCTGGCAAGGGTTTGCCACGATGTTAAGTGTCTGGCATTGAATGACGTGATTTTTAATAATATTCTGAAGGTAATACCAAAAAATCACACTTTATTACTTGACGAATTTAGATCGGTATTTTACACACCTTTAGTACCGTGTACCTGCCAAAGCCACCATAGCCTGAACTTCATAATGGTCCATCGTTCTTATCTGTGTTGGGAGCATGCGCTGACAAACTTTCAGCCTTTATAAAATGACGAAGGTCTGGCGTTCACGGGCTCTTCCTCTAGTAGGAAGGAAAGTGGTTGACGCTCGTAACGGATATACGTAAAGTCATTTATTATTATATAAATAACTGGTATTTGAATGTACGCCCATTTTGATTGGATTTAATGTTATACATATGTATTATAATTCATTCACACACAAATATGTATACCTAATGACAATGGTTTAGAGTACAATTTCTAGTGTTGCCCAAACGCAAGAACAAGACGAGACTTAGCCAGTCTTGGTCTTGGTCTTGCGCCAATACACCTGGTCTTGGTCTTGGTCTTGGTCTTGCGCTCCCAGTCTTGGTCTTGGTCTTGGTCTTGCAGCAAGAGTCTTGCAAGTCTTGCAATTACCTATTAGTCTATTACTATTTATTAAAGTTTACTTTAAATCCTAGAAAAACGTATTAGAATTGGAACATTGTGAGCTTGAATGAATATAGCCATAGTAAAGATCAAGCAGATTAATAAATAACTGAAGATTTGATAAGAAATTCGAAAAATCAACTGACCTATATGTCGTTTTCCATGGAAGTGACTGTTTCTTAATAAACATTTATGATTTATAAGCTTACATTTGCTAAAACATGTAAAAAAACAAATTAATTACAATAACTTGACTGTATTTTAAAGAACAATACTTATCTGTCTAAAAAGAGATTGAACCCTCAACTTATAAGAAATTTAATAAAAGAGTTTTACGATTTATCATTTATTTGAATAAAAAATAAAATACAACACAAATCAACAGCTTTATCATTAGGTTATGATACTTTATATCAATTTTTTTGACCAAGAATTAATACAAAGTAACCATCTGGCTGACTCATCACTTAACCTATTTCTATGTTTTCTAATTACTAATGATGCTTTAGAAAATAACCTCTCAGCAGGTACTGAAGTTGCAGGTATTGAGAGAAAATCACGGGCCATTTTCGATAAAATCGGATACTCTGTCTCATGCGTCCTCCACCAATCTAAAATGTCTTCCGAGCTGGCAGTTCTTGGTTTTCTCAGGTACTCCTTCAACTCGTCTATCACTAAGCCTTGAAGACAAGATCCAGATGACGTCGAGGGACATTCATAGAGTTTATCAAAGTCTATTACGTCTTCATCTTCATCACATACTTCATTTTTTTTTTCTGGTAATTCCAGAGATTTGTTCAGTGAGTGTAGACTTTTATATTCTTCATAAAGTTCCTTGAACTTGCGCAGACTTTCTGTTTTAAGTTGCTTCCCCCACATTGTCAGGTCAAAAGTCTGAGCCTTATGCCTTGGGTCTAAAATTAAAGAAGTACAATAAATCCAGTTGCTCTTCTTGTAATGTTTAAGCATTTTATCTCGAGCTGCTTGGAAAGCTAGAATGAGCCTTTCATCCACTTCAGATCGATTAGGTTTCTCATCTAACTGTTTTACCATGGATTCAATTTTATCTAACAAGAGATTGAATGATACAATGACTAGCGGTAATGTAACATATTTGTCTCCACCAAGTTTTGTACTTAAAAGTTTAAAGTTTATTAGAAATTTATGTAATTTTTCGAGTACCTGCCATTCATTAGCTGTGATTTGAAAATCATTTAATTCGGTGACAGAACTGCACAATATGTCAATGCCCGCTCTCACTTTTAAACCAAATCCAATCATATCATGTGTGGAATTCCATCTCGTTGGACAGTCAAGAATGGCATTTAGATTTGATGGCACGCCAGCTGCTTCACAAGCAGACTGAAACTTCTTCTTGACTATCTCACTTCTTTTTATTTTACTGGAAATACTGCGTAACTTTGTTACAGATGTACGCGAGTCAGCAATATTTGGTGCAGATTCTTCATCTTCCTCATCCTCAGTTTCGTCTGCATAGTCTTCGTACTGCTGATCTTGCGCGTTAGTGTCAGACTCACAGTGTAATGCTAAGGTCTTTAATAAATCTTGTACACCAAGGTTTAAAATGTGAGCAAAGCACCGGAAATGTTGATTGTCTGAATCAAAGTGTGGCGGCAGCTGTTTGCCCAGTTCATACATAAATTTGGTATTTGCAGTTGCGTTGTCGACCGTGATACCTTGTATTTTATCAATTATGCCATATTCCAATAAACATTCATGGAAAATCGTTGCAATATCTTCCCCAGTATGTCGACCGCGTGATGGTATAAAATCAAGAACTACAGATTGATACTTCCATTCGTTGTCTATATAATGAATAGTAACCCCGTAGTAACTCCTACCAGCAATTGACGTCCACCCATCAATGGTAAAAGACATTTTAGATGATAATTGTTGAAGTCGTTCCTTGAGATTCAATTGGAGCTCTTCAAATCGCTCTTTGACTTTCCTTCTAAGTGTAGACCTTTTAGGAAACACCATATTAGGGCAAATACGTCGAAAATATACTTGTGTAGCTTCGTCATCGAAAAATGAGAAGGGAAGATATTTTTTTACCACCCAATCAACTGTAGCTGTCGTGATGTTGTCACTGCTGTTTTCCGACTTAAACAAAACAATAAATCTTGTATTATTATTTAAAACATACTAGGTTTGAGCGTATAAGAGGAGGAGGTTTGTTGTTGTTAAATCGAGAAAATCGTTAAATTGATATTTGTTATATTAAGGTTGCACTGTACTGTAATTTACCAAAATAAAGTACTTAGTTGTTACTGGCCGATTAAATGAAAATATGGGTGTTTATAAAAAATATTTAAGACGATAATTACATACTTAATATGTCGCACCCCTAGATGAAAACACCACTAACTCAAAAATACACTGATAGAAGGATTTTTTTGTACCTAATAAGATTTGTTACCAGTTAAGAAATGATTTGTTAGAGAGAAGACTCCTAATAAATATTTATTAGCAGTTAATAAATCATTTGTTAGCGGATATTTTTTACTGCCAACAAAATATTTATTAGTATGTAATAAATGATTTATTGACATATAAAAAATAATTTATTAATATTCAAAAAATCCCTTGAACATTACGTTCATTGTTCTAATTATTAAAATTACAGAGAATTAGAAATTTTGTGAAACGAATAAAGTTAAAATATAATAAATAATGAATTGATTAATAGTATATAATTCATTTTTTTATGACAACGGTATACATTTAAAATTAAAATAATCACTATTATAATCGATACGTTGGTATTCGTATACGAGTCAATAAATCAAATTTCTTTGAGATATTACATAAGAGCCATCTGACGATACATGAATTTTTAACGGTTTAAAATATTCATCGAAAATTGATAGGATAAAGTTTTCTGGATCGTTTGTTTTCGGTAATATTAATTGATAGCTTTTTATATGGGGATTGAGTCCAATAGTTACACATTTTTTGGAAGAAATATGAATAGTTTTGCCATCAGATATAATTGCAGTAATAAAACCAAATACATGATTATTCTCAGAGTCATTGGAAACGTGGAAGGCATACGATGGCTATTATATATACATACAAAGCTACGCATGAGTGCCGCCATCTATCAACAATGACCACAAATAAAATATTTGTTAACCGTAAACAAATCTTATTTGGTGGAAATAAATAATTTTTTCAATACATTAAAGCTTTTTAACAGTAAAAAAATTTTTGTTTTAATAAAAAAGCGATTTAATTAATCCTAAAAAGTGTTGGTAACAGTAAAAAAATATTTCTTCCATCCAAAAAGATACCTTAAAAAGTTTGTAATAAATTGATTTATTACTCCCAAAAAAATCCTTCTATCAGTGTACTTACGTAAGTTGATGGCGTTTTTGAAAGTATCGCATGAATAGCTACGCGGAGTTAAAATTCTTTTAACTGTTAAATAAATATTCTTACCTGTCCACTTCTTCCAGCGGTTACTAAAAAGCTTGTGATATCTCCACTGAATTTTGGTTTAACAGGAAGAAATATTTCTGATTCCTTTTTATGGAAAGATATTAGATGTTTCCTTAAGCCTGAAGTGTTTCTGTTTTTCATTTTTATTTCAATCTTTTTATGTTGGCACAATTTACAGAAGGCAGTTTGGGATGCATGAATTATTTCGAAAAATTCCTCAAATTTGCTTTTGGGTCTTTTAGATCTGTGACTCAAACTCTCGTTACTCGGACTAGAATAATTTGAATCTTCGTCACTCATATTAAATTGTACACGTGATACGTTTTTAGAAAACAACGAGAATTAGTAAAAACAATTATTAAGTTAGACTCGAAGCACAGCTCAATTGGAAATGACTGGAATTAAAATAATTCCTTTATTTATAGTACGTTTCCTTGCTTTCTACCGCGCCGCCTCGCCACGTGCCGGCTCTATGATAAGGATGCCGCCGCAAATCAAACAATAATATAAAGCGTGTAAAAAAATTCGAAATTACGGCCTGTCCGCACTGCGATATTTCACCGCACGTTTTTATTCCCGCAATTCTGTAACACAATGAATCTTATAGGAGTATCCGCACTGGCGGTTAAAAATTCGCGCGGAAAAAATCTGTGATTTGATGCAAATTGAACGCGATGCGGCGCGGATTATTTCCGCGCGAAAGTTTTGTACAGTATATAATATGTATGGCTATGGCCGCACTGCGAAATAAAATTCGCGCGTTTCGCTCAGTCGTGCACCGACGCTATTGGTTTATCGAATGATTTTGTAGTCATTCTGTAATATCCGAAAAACTTTTTACTGTATTTTCGCAGCTCTTGATATTTAATGTAGAAAAACATCATTTTAGATTACTAAAATGTCTCAGTAGATATAGTAGATTTATCATTTTAGACGTTTGTCTCAGTCGGGAACTGCATCAAACTGACAAAAAATCGTACGAAATTTTATTCGCAGTGCGTAATAAGTACAATTTCGATCACGGAATATAATACGCGAGAATAAAAATCGCGCGGTGAAATATCGCAGTGCGGACAGGCCCTTATTTTGCATGAGTATACCTACGCCCTATGGCGGCAATCAAATAGTGTCAAATGTTATGATTTCGGCGTGGCGGCAACGATTGTTTTAGATTTCAAAAGAAGCCGCCGGCGCGTGTATCATAACCATGTACTTCCGAAAAGCGGCAAATTTCTTTGAGAAGTAAGTACAAAACCTTTGATGCCGCATTATCAAAGTGCCGATGGTTAAAACATAACTATGCATGCACTCAGTTTGATTTTAATAATTTTTTTATTCGCTATGTTTATGGTATTAGTCGTAATGCGCATAGGTCCAGTTTTTCATATTCTTTGATACAGTTTTTTGCGTCTCATAGAATTCCTAAGCGTACCTACCTATACACCGAACTGTTACACCTAACTACTCAGTGAAATAGCGCTAAGTCCTAGCTGCAAGACGCAAGAGTCTTGCAGGCTATGTCTTGTTCTTGCTCAAGTCTTGCACGGTCAGTCTTGGTCTTGGTCTTGCTAAAAATACGCGGTCTTGTTCTTGGTCTTGGTCTTGCAAAAACGCAAGAACAAGACCAAGACTGCAAGACCAAGACTGAATTTGGGCAACACTAACAATTTCCTTTGGCATGTTTTACGTTACCATTTGGTTGACTGCGAGTGTGTATAGTTGTTAATATTAATTAAATATTAATTTTAATAAAATTAAATAAATTAATAGAAAATGTGTAAAATGGTTTTTATTAAATAAATAAAATATTAATTTTTAACAACACCTTCAGTTCTTCCTTTAACTTGATTTAAAACCTTTTATGACGAATCTGAAAAAAATATATATTAGTTTCAATAACATACAGATATAATATGCTTATTTTAAACTAACTGGCAGTAGTAGCTCAATGGTAACGGGCTCGCTTGGGAAACCGAGTGACGCAGGTTCAAATCCCGGGACGTGCACCTCTAATATTTACATGTGCGAATCATTTCCAACGTGATTACCACTTGTCTTACGGTAAGGGAAACATCGTGAGGAAACCTGCATATCTGGGAGAACCTAGCACGTTTTCGAAAGACATGTTAAGTCCGCATCCGGCACTTGGCGAGCGCGGTGGACTATGACTTGATCCCGCTCGCATTAAAGGGAGTTGGGAGTTCTTTTTAACGTCTCAGAGCTGTTCAAAATATATTGGTTACATGACAATAATGTATTATATTATGTATGTAATGTATGTATATACCTGGTAACATTTCTAAAGAACGCTGCTACTAGATTAAAGGCGTTGGCTACAACAATCATAGCTTGAGGAGTAGCGATGAAGGGATCGGGCGGCGCGAAGACCATCTGACGTCTCATTTTCTGTAGACTCCTGAAGTTATGTCGTCCGATACCAATTTTGCCAAAAAGACGGTACTATAAAAATATGTACGAATATACATATAAATATATATAAGAAAATTAGTTTAAAATATATAATTAAATGATTATTTCACCATACTTTGTATGTGACTCAATCTGGTTGTGTATTTCTATTAAATTACAATTATTTATATGAATATTTCTAGTAAAACAATATAAATTATATAAATACAAAGCGACGAACCTGATCAAAGCGCGTGAGTCGCTGTATAGCATAAAGCCAAAGAGTTTTTTTTGTAGATTGAACGTGGGCTTAGTCGCGGGTTCTGCTAGTATTTAATATATAAATTTACTGTTAATAACAAGTTATTTTTATGTTAAGACAATTTTAACATAGATCATTCACAAAATGATTGCAATTCGAGGTTGTTCCATGACGAAAGAATGTCTGTAAAGTTTTGTTTTCATAGGTAATTTAAGTAATTTACTATTAAATATAGATATTTGATCTAATTATGAGTTGTATTTACACTATGCCACAGCTAAAATAGGTTTACTACCAGTAAATTGTAAATGCTAGATGTCGTTACATTTTCTTATCTATGTACTTAATATGTTTTATGTAATATTTAACCTATTTAAGTGAAGGATAAATACTAAACACATTATCTATACTACCATTATAAAGAGGAAAGATTTTTTTTTGTTTGTACCGAATAGGCTCCGAAACTACTGAACCGATTTAAATGAAATTTATTAAGAAGATAGTTTGAGACCCTGGAAAGGACATATCATCTCTTAAGGGGGTGAAAATGTGGATGAAAGTTTGTATAGGGAAGTAACCTAGGAACGAACCTGAGCGAAGCGAAGGCGAGTCGCACTAGCGACTAGATATTCGTATATATATATATATATATATATATATATATCTTTCTTAGATGTACGCGAATATTTGACATTTTAAATAAAGCTATCTTTTCGGATTTTTTTCGCAGATTCGCAACAGGAATCAAAAATCTAAATAAAACCGCGAGACAATTCCGAAAAGATAATTTAATTTAAGGCATTTATATATTTTTTAAATTTAGTAATAGCTACAAGTGACGTAACCTCGTTTTACTCGGTTGCATCCCTAGGTGTCTTGTGACTTGACCAAAAACCATTGTCTTTTTTATATAAATATCTATATTCTAAACATATAATAAAATTAAAATTCTAACTGAGTCGAATCTGTACATTAAATATTTTTTTCTAAAACCTTATCGAAATAGTCATTATTATCGATACAGTATCCGCATCTATAGTTCTTAGAATTTCTGTCTGTCTGTCTGTGACCGCATCACGAAAAACCCACTGGATAGATTTTGATGAAATTTGGTATGATGATAGCTGGTTATACTGGTCAACATATAATTAGGATACATTTTACTGCGGAAAAATATCTCATCTCTGAGATAAACGTCAAAAATAACTAGGGACGAACCCAAACGGAGCGAGGGTGAGCCGCTAGTACTGTATATAACATGTATGCACTACTTTTGACATATTTTATTACCAAAGACTATAGCACTTAATTTCATCTAAATCCGTCTATCCGTTGTTTCAGCGCGGCGTGAGAATGAACAAACACGTACAGACATACGCATTTATAATTATGTATGTGATGTGTTTCTATAACGTATATTTTCTTATTTACTTACGTGAGCATCTGATATATAAATAGGTTCTTCAAATATTATCCACACCACAACTTCATTGCATTCGGGAGACGTGAGGGAGCCGAGGTAGGTGAAATAAGAATTTTTGTTTGGACTTAATAGCTTCCTGGAAGTTTAAAATATAGGTAAGTGTACTTATATAATATTTAAAAGAGCTTCTTTTTTGATTTTTGACGTGAAACTTTTTTAAAATCGTTGTGATTTGAAACTTGATGAAACGGAAATGCCACACTAAAAAGAGACAAACACATTAATATATAGGATTAAGCCGGCGAGAGAATGAGATAGAATACATTGCTATCTTGCCATGGTAACAGTTGTTATTGTCTGACAAATATATAGTAATACTAGCAGAACCCGCGGCTTCGCTCGCGCTAAAACTACAAAAAAAATCTAAAAAGGTAGTTTCATACAAACTTTCATCCCCTGGTTCCCCCCTTATGGAATGAATTTTGAAAAATGCTAAGACACGTATTTATTATATTTTATTAAAGAGCATATATACCAAATTTTAAGTAATTCTGATAACAAATATTTTTTGAATTGTATTATAACGTGTTTTTCCATGGGAATTAAGTAATCTCCCGCGATAAAAAGTATACGATGCGACTATGTCACTCTCCAGCCCTACAACTATCTAGTGTCTCCACACAAAAAATCACGCCAATGCGTTACTCCGTTTCGACGTGAAAGAAGGACAGACAAACAAACAAACAAACACTTTCACATTTATAACATTAATATAAGCATGGATTACATATAAAATATATATAATCTGCATTAAATTGAACAAAATCGATAAGTACCTAAATCTATCTATCTATACATACTTATAATAAAATTCTAACCGAGTCGAATCTGTACATTAAATATATTTTGGAAACTTTTATTGAATTATCATCGATACACATGTCGAATCTATAGATTTTAGAATTTTTGTCTGTCTGTCTTTCTGTCTGTCTGTCTATTACCGCATCACGGAAAAAACAGTCAAGGGATTTTGATGAAATTTGGTATGATTATAGCTGGTTATCCGGGTCAACATATAGGATACTTTTTACTGCGGGAACATATCTCTGAGAAATTTATACTAAACGTTTACACGTAACTAGGGACGAACCCGAGCGGAGCGAGGGTAAGTCGCTAGTACATAACACAAAGTTTGATGAACTACAACGTTTCGGCATTTATGTTTTTGATCTTATATAACTTCTTATCCTTAGTTTACAAGCGTAATTGTCATTAAATTAGCAAATAGGCGGAAAGAAATGATTGTTTCGTAAGTTTATATATCCGGAAATAATTATTTCGTTTTCTGATGTGACTTTGAGGATAAAACTTCATATGCCAATGTAGGTATAAATACCTACCTAAGGACTTTCATCTCGTAAGAGTGCTTTATACTACACTAGCGACTCACCCTCGCTCCGCTGGGTTCGTGTCTAATTAAGTAAATACGTTTTAACGTTTAGTATAGAGAGATGTTTTGTTTGTTGTATTATTATGTTGACCCGGATAACCAGCTATAATCATACCTGATTTAATCAAAATCTGTCCTGTGGTTTTCTCGTGTTGCGTTCCCAGACAGACAAATCGACTTAGTTAGAATTTTATTATATATAGGTATAGAAGACGATTTCTGGAGCTTCGTTTAAGCTTAAAACATCACACTTGTTATCTAGCTTATAATTTTTTCAACTAATTTATATTCCATTCCTCTCATTCTACTATATAGTTCCAATACCTACTTGTTACATCTAATTCTAGTAGATAAGGGACTTCTAGTACCTACAAGATAATATTATAATAGCAATATAAAAAAATATTTTTTTAAAAGTAAACCTAACAGTGCGTGGTTTTAACGATAAGGCTCTTATATAAAGAAGTAATACTCTATAGAAATCATATCTTGATACATCGGAATATAGCGCACTTATCGCATAGTTTCTCATGAAGTGGATGTAGATAAGGGAGATAGATTCCATAGGTATCTATGCAAAAGCATTGATTTTTTCATCCTAAAAGAAGAATTTCGTTATACAATATTTCGCTAATTTTTTACCTTAAATCTAATAGTACTCCACTGGTCATATCACCTATTCTTAGCAACAGCGGGATATACTGCATTATTTCTTCGGCGGCTTCTTGTTGACGATCATTTATTTCTGCTTGGACCTGAAATACAAATAAGGATTTAACTTCGAAATAGAAGGTTATAATAAGCTATAAACTTATACGTCAAAACTTTATTCAATTCAATTCAATTTTTTTGTTCATGACTTCAAAGCGTGCCAGTTATGCACAGACTACTTCGCCAATGTCACGTAGAATGGAGAAAAATAAGCCTCATTGGTTGTGGATGGTGTCCACATCGTTAATAATTATCAGACATAAGTCTCGAAAATCGGTTTTGTGTAAATATATTTTCCTATCACTCAAAATGAGATTTAAAGTCATGGTAGAGCATAGAGCACAAAGGTTAAAGCTAAGCTAAGCAAAGAGTGCAAAGAGTGGGAAACATGTATTTTTGTAGCTTTCGTCTTCCATTTCGAGGTTTTTCTCCCAATTTGACTAAACTACTAATTCGCGATTAGAAAAAATTTGAAAGCTAATTCAAATTCAGTCTCGTGCAACTAAGCTGATTTTTTATCATTTAAGTGTAAGAAGATATCCTACATGTATACCTACTCGTGTTATTAATAAATAAATCTATGCTCCGGAGGTCATGGGTTCGAGTTTAGCTCGAGACAAATATATTGGGAATATAATGACTGTTGCAGCCTGGACATATATCCGTGTTATTGTAACTGTATAGGTATCCCCTATGCAGGTTATAATAAAGATTAAGTAAAATAATTCTATGAATGAAGGAAGAAATGAACCGTTAATTGTAAATATTTTCTCATAATATGCGTTTGTATAATAAACTAGCATTGCCCGCGGCTCCGCCAGCGTTTAGATTACCAAAAACCAAATACTTAGGTTTTACAGTTAGTATACTCTTACATTGCAGTTATTTTTTTCTCAGATATGAGTAATTTTTCCGCGGTAAAAAGTATCCTATGTATATGTTGACCCGGATAACCAGCTATCATCATACTTAATTTCATCAAAATCCCTCCAGTGGTTTTTCTGTGATGCGGTAACAGACAGGCAGACAGACAAAAATTCTAAAAACTATAGATTCGGCCTCTGTATCGATAATAATGTTTATTTCAATAAGATTTTCCAAAACATATTTAATGTACAGATTCGGCTTGGTTACAATTTTATTATATGTATAGATGTATGTACAGATTGAGCTTACATTGCAAAACACTGATATAATAGCCAGTCCATCTCGTTTACTCAAAGCTTCTGAGACTCCTAGATCATATCTCACATGCACGAAGTGAATTTCCATTGGAAATCTGGATGAATGAAAAATTGGTCAAGTGTGATTCAGACTCTGATTAATTTAAAGACTTGTTATATTTTTTACTTTATACACCTCATTGGTGCTATTGATAGATTTTTTTTAATTTTTAATAGTTCGCCCGATTTTTTTCTCAAAAGTAGTGTTACTTTATCAGCGCTATACAGTATACATGCATTATTGAGTCACGTATATTAAATCACATACTAGCGGCTCACCCTTGCTTCGCTCGGGTTTTTTTCCTAGGTACGTTTTAACGGTTAGTATGGAATAGATAGATTATATATTATATATAAATACACCCATAGGTATGATGAGTTACTGTGGGTTGTATTATAACATGTTTTCCTCTGGGAATGAGGTAATCTCTCGCGCTAAAAAGTAATTCTCAGCCTTAGTCACTCTCCAATCCTACTATTTCCACGCAAATAAATCACGCCAATCCGTCACTCTGTTTCGACGAGAAAGAAGGACAAACAAATACACTTTAACATTCATTATATTTTATAAGTATGGATACAAATCAACGAAATTCATTTACTTTTATGCCCGGTAGATAGATATGGTGCAACAGACGGGCTGATAATCAGATAGTTACACAGGAGTTATTTTAGAGCTTTCCTTTAAACCCCTATAATGCTGACTTTATTATAAGCATTCAGGTGCCGTATATGTATGTACAAAATATTAATCCCTCCACGACAGCGGGCACGCCGGCGTTACTGTTAACAATAGATTTCTTAGATTTTTTTTAAATTTCCTAGATTTTTTTTAATTTCTAAGGTTTTTTTGAAATTATTTAGAAACTTACCTGGAGGTGTTAAAGAATATAGTCCACCATTTCACATAATGACTCAATTATAACAAACACTATACATGCGTAATCAATGCATAGTAATAAAACACGTACTTTACTCCATTAATAGAATGTTCTGAGAGCCAGTGGAAGTGTAGTTGTTCGAGTCGATACAGATATTTCAGCGGCCCTCCCGTGATGGTTGGATGCATGCTTTTGTCCCCCTCTGTACTGAATTGAACTGAAAAGGTATACTGGTGATTATCATTAACTGAGCATGTGCATAATACTCACTTAGACTTACGCGAATATTTGACACTTTAAATTTTTGCGGATTTATTTTGATTTTTGGTTTGCTTTACAGCAACCTCTCCCCCTCTCCCGTGACCTTGATTGCTGTAAACCATTCAAAACGTCGGGACCAGAAAATCAAAATAAATTTGCAAAAAAAAACTAAAAAGATAGTTTTTATTTATCTATCTAATATATTTAAACGAGCAATTCTTGTATATATATATATATAATCTGAATCTCGGAAACGGCTCCAACGATTTTCATGAAATGTAGTACACGGGGGTTTCGGGGGCGATAAATCGATCTAGATTAGTCTTATGTCTGGGAAAACGCGTGTTTTTCGAATTTTCGTGCGGTTTTCTTTTGCATTATTCCACGCAAAATATTATGTTCGATAATTTCACACGCTCGGGCATAAGCATCATGGTCAAGCGACCAAGGTTCAAGATTGAATAAGTGTCCGGGTTCGAATCCCGGTCGGATACAAAGGTATAATTTATTTTTATTTTTTTTATGTATTTATTGAAGTTTTTTGTTTTTTTTTGTACAATAAAAAATATAAAAATAAGTATAAAATTGTACTTATGACCAAAAAACTCGGTGACCCAGAATAAAATGTAGACTTTATATTTTGCTGTATTGTTTGCAAATATGTATGTGCAAAAATGCGTCAACATTTTCTTTACCTAAAACATCATTTAATTCCCACCAGTAAAGCAATTTTAATGGTTTTTTTTTTAAAGCTTGAACAATTGATTTCCCGGAAACTAACCACGGAGGCATAATATAATATGGATATGGTACAATAAAATACATACATACATACATACAACAAAAAATGTAATAATATGGTATTGCAGTCGGAACTCGGAGACATGCATGTATTAAAGCTTAAAGTTTTGCTACATAAACGTAACCTACGAATAATTAATTTATTTATTCATATAACGTATTTAGTATAAAAGAAACATTACAATAGGTTCTCTATTGGTAAAGGTGGTACATATTATATTTATGTATATACACACTATAGCCGGTCAATTTGTTATTTATCTAATAAATGGAAAATTTCATTTTAAAGTTTTCCCTCTTAAAGTAGTTGAAAAGAGTATGCTCGGTAATTCAATTTTCAGAGCACAATAGCAATCTTGCTTCGTGTAAACTCATGGAGCCTCTATTATGCGAGTTTGCTTTGTTGAAACACTTCGTTTAAGTATGATAGAACTTTGTTACTTTAATACAATGATTGATTTTAAACTTGCCTTAGTTTGAATAAGATGTTTACTAATAATACTTATAAGATGTTGGTTTGTTTGTTAGGCTAAAGATTAATTATATAAACACATTTCTTAAAGCAAAGAGATTGCTTGCATTTCTGAGACATATTATATATGGCAGTGATAGTCCAGTGGTAACGAGTTTCTTTGGAAACCAAGTTATGTGACTTCAAATCCCGGGTCTCGGATATCTCTCTGATATTTACTGATTATTCGCCTTTCGATGAAACGAAATATCGTCAGGAAAACGGCACTTCTGAGAGTGCTTTATTTTCAAGACTGGTGGTGTCCACGGCGTTTGTTCTGATTCCATATGCATTGAGGGGAAGTTCACGTCACATTCTTCACATCTCACTCATCACCATACGTTAGTTTCGTTAGTTTTTTATTTCTACAAACCAAGTTTCTACAAAGAATAAGATAAGAGCTAAAAAACATTACAAGCGGCCAGCCAGAAGTTTTTTATAGATATGAACGCGAACTGTTTGGATTATTAGTTAAGTATTTATGCATTTATTATTTCTTACTAGTATGACCATTGTTGATACCCGAAAGAAGTACATTTTCGTATCCAATAAATTTGATAGGACCGTGTTTGATGAATTGTTTGTCGAAGTCCTTAATAACATTTCGAGTCTGTATGTCTATAGGTGACTGCCTTTTCCCTCCTTTTTTGCAATGACCTCCAGGCCAAGCGCTTTCATCTACAATAAAAATTACACTAATAATATTAGTTGTTTATAACTGGGAATCGAACTCGTATCTTTCAGCTGAGACCTTAGTACAGTGAAAATTGGTAGTCGTATTTTATTGAATTATAACTTATTTATTTTTTAAACATATTAAATATTTACAAGAACAGATGGATTTTGTCGAAACTCACATATATACGGTTAAAAGTAGTTATTTTTTTTCTTTTATACAGAGCTTCTTTTTATTTGATGCTTGTCTTAGATCACCAAGTAGGTCAAAATCTATTAAAATTTAAAAGAATAACACCTCTGTCATGAACCTAAAAACTAGTAGAATAAAGTTTACAAAGATACAAAGCACACAGTGATAAAGCACTCACCATCGTAACTCCAAACAGGACCGTAGAATGAGATGGATGAAGCAACATCTAAAACACAATTAAATATTTTAATACTATAAAATGTAAAGATAACTTGTTCAAATTTTAATTAAAATAATTTCTCTATATTTGGTGTTTGTTTTTGAGTTTAATCAAAATCCTACAGAAAAAAGCACTTTGAGTTTTCTTAGAATTTAATAATTTTCTAGTCAACTTAGCCAATCTTTTCCCCCTAAATACAAATATTTAAAAAAATTAAACAAAGCCATTCCAAATCTCTCCAGCCATTCTCAAGAAACTCGCTTAGCAACGAAAAGCCTTTCATTTTCATAGGTAAGTTAGTACGGTAGTAGGTACGGTACTAGTGTAAGCACGGTAATATTACATACATTACCGTGGTGTAAGTGTGACCCATAATCATATCTTTTACAACACTGAAGCTCGTCATTAGTTATCTACTAAGCAAAAAAAAAAGAAAGTTGTTTGACAAGCAGAGGAGTAGGTTACCTAACCGTTTTTTCTTTGCCTATTTTGTATATATATAAAATAAATAATAAATAAATATATTGGTACATTGACACACAACACCATGTAGTTCCATGGTAAGCTACGGCCTACGAGGCTTGTATTATGGATACCTGATACTTGATACACTACACATATATAACTTTAAATACATACAAATTTTAAATATATACATCCATAACACTGGAGTACAAGCAGTCGTGCTCATCACAAAAATGAATGCCCTCAGCGGGACTCGAACTCGCAACCGCTGGCACAGCAAGTACTACAAACTGAGCCAAACGTATCGTCATAGAAGATTTATTATATTCATATAAAGATAAGTAAAATACAAATTACAATATATTAAAAATAAAATAAAAATGAATTTTCTCTCGCATTTAATACACGCTTTCCTTAGCTGAAGTAAACATTTAAAAGTTTCACAAGACGCTGGCCTTGTACTTGACCTAGCAGCTTACATAAGAGCACTTGAGTTAATTGCCGTCTTAGGAACCTTAGAGAAATCTGTACTTTGTTTCAGAAAATTACGCTTTGTTTTTTGATCGCTAGCAATATAACGTATTTTATTCTTATTATATTTCTTTATAAAAGATATTGGAACTATACATGTATAATATATAATTGCTTACATACTACTCATATATATTAAAAGTTAGCTTTTGTGGTAAAATATAGTTAGTCCCGAGAATTATATTACAAGATATTGAATCTTATATTATTATATTAATAAATTATAAGTTATTAATAACTGTTAACTACGCTTGCCTCGAGGTTGTCCTGTCTAAATTTTTGTCTGTGAACACATACAGTTTTAACCGAATTTTACAATTTTCGGATTTATTACCAACAAAATACTCACTAAACATATATTTAAAAAACATATTAATGCTCTTTTTTGTGATAAATAAGATCGATAAGGCTCACCTAAATACAGCATTATCACTATAAAACACCTCATATTCCAAAAAAAGTAATTTGAAACGTTAATTTCGCGTAAGATTTGTTCTTCAAATGAAAAGAGAAAATTCTTTATAGGTGAGGTGCGATATTGTTTATAAAATATGAGGTGATTGTTTCATTGAAATTATTGTGTAAGATTTAAATATTCTAAAAGAAAAGAGTTTTCTGAGATATACGAGTATGTGTTGTACAAACATTAAAAAAACTCCAAATGTTTAAATGATATCATTCCTGCAATCATGTTTGTTTAGTTAACAAATGAATTAACCTTAAAAATGATAAAATGGCCAAAAAATTTTTTTGTAATGAGACAGCTAATTTTAAATATTTTCCACCTCGCTATCTTTGAATATCTTTGAAGGCCGATTTTAGCCGAAGTAGCCTATTAAGTACTACTTTTTTTATAATGATTATGAAAGTTGAGAGTCTGGAAAACTTCTGAGACCTTCTTAGGACCCATAAAGTCAAGTTGAAAATTTAAGTTACAATTCACCGAACGTAAATTTTTCACTTTACGCCAACATTTTCATAATTTCTATCAAAGTTACTAAAACTACAACTCATGAGAATTCAGTTGCAAAAATGAAATCTCGAAAAAGTCTTCTACTTTTTTTTAGAAATTTTTTAAGTTGTACAGTTTGAATATTCTCAAATATTCAGAAAAAAAATCATAACTCAAAAACTATGAACAGTCGCGAAACATACAGGGGGTTGATTCGGGTCCCCCAAGGGGTGCTCTATCTCTGGACTTCCGCTTAGCACTTCTTTCTGGGACACCTGTATAGCGACATGAACGAAGTCAGAAATTCGATATATATTTACGTATATAAATAGCATACCGATGTGAACTCAATTGTTCTGCAAGAGAATCTCTAGTTTCCTGTCCACATGATTAATAAGAGCAACGGTCTTGTATCCTGTGACTTTACCATTTGTCCTGAAAATATATATATCTGACAGCATCTTATTTCAAACTATCTACAGCCTGCGTAATTACTTGCTTAAACTGTATGTTTGTCAATTATGAACCGACTTCTATGTTTCTTTTTTTATGCATCAACTCTCAAGCATAGTCAAATATAAGTTTTAAGAAAGCACTACACTCATTAGGGTAGTATAATAACTTTCAAAGTAATTTTAAAGTCCGTGTACCTTTAAACTTAAAATATAACCAAAACTCTCAGTTAATCTTTGAACGTATTTAGCAAATAAAATGAAACTCAACATTTTTTTCGCACCCAGACTTCACTATCTTCAACCTTACATGCTAGATATTTAACCGCCAAACAGACCAATTAAATTTTATTTATATCTAGTTATCAGATTCACATTTCTACTAAAAAAATATTTAAATTAACGAGTTAATTGTTTTACGCGATCGTTAGCGAGTATCGAACTAATAAATGGTAGAGTCATTTCTTACAACGAGGTAATGATTGTTATTCAGACCCTACCTAAGATCTAGATATGAGGACGTGTTGATTAGTCTAGATTTAGCTAGCGTTAACAGCCGCATGTTTAAGGTATATTATATGACTACGCACCATACTTTACTTCAATAAATGTTCTTTAATACCAGAATCGTTCATTCATATAGTCTGTGCCAGCCGATACAAAGCAAATCACACCGACTTCGAAAATATTTGATTAGGTATGTATAGTAAAGGAAAACTACCTATCAGTTATTTTTTACTTTTAAGTGCTTTTTTTGAAGTCGGTTTTTATTTTTTTTGTTAAAAACAGAGATCCCAGATAAATAAAAAAACACAAACTTTTAAGAATGAATAATTACTTTTAAAATAATTTTGGTAGTCGACATACCGTTTAAGTTAAAAATTGATTATAGAAGTTATAGCCGGAAGTACTAAGTAGACATAGTTATTTTTATGAACAAGCTATAATATATTCGATTAGCAGCATATGCATGCATGCATAGATGTAGATTAATCAATCAATGTTCACGATAACACTTAGCTCTGATGTCAGAGGCTATCAAGCTGACTAATATACCCTACATTAGGGTCTTTGTGTTAATTTAGTCCTTTGACGTCATTGACTAATATACCCTAAGTACTATCAACAGACAATATTAATCTTTGCAAAGCTAAAAGGTTTTATTGTGTTTTCTAGTTTTTTTGTTTTCTTTCGCTTAATGCCTGAAATTATCAGTATTATTAAAAGTGTTATCTTTGTATTTTGTAGTGTATTAATTGTGTGGGGCTTTCTACTCGTATATACATATATTTATAACCTTTAGGAGAAGTTATTCAAAATAAACTATATAATAACATATAATTTCTTTAGATTAGAAAGTAGACATTTTCAATGCATTATAATATTTTAATATTATTTTTTAGTTTTACTTTTTTATGATATTTAGGACTACTCCTCGGTTTGCTCGGTGTCCTTAGGTGCCTACGGTAAATTTTATGGTATGTCACGTTTTGGCATATTTTTAACTGACTTCCAAAAAGGAGGAGGTTCTCAATTCGCCGGAATTTTTTTTTATGTATGTTCACCGATTACTCGAAGACGCCTTTGGAAGAGCCTTTAGAAGAAGACCGATTTGGATTTTTTTTTGTTTCAAATAGTATACTGGTGGTCCCATAAAAATTTTATCGAAATCGGCCGAGCAGTTTTTTTTTTAAATCAACAAATATATTTTTTTTAAATAAATTGCTTAATCGAACATGTTATTAAAAAACTTTCTTCTAACAAATTACCTACTTATTACGTCTTCAGTAAAAATGGACAAATAAAAACTTAAAAAGAAAACACGACTTCCAGGGACTAAAATGTAAAATATAATTAAACTGGGGTTTTCATTTAGAATAGATACCTAATCAGATATTTTCGAAGTCGGTATCAGCCTACAATATTTTAAGATATGAATATCTAATAGGTAAATAATAAATATGTGGTTTACGTATCGAAATATATTAGATTTGCTTTGCATGGGCTGGTACCGACTTCAAAAATATCTGAATGAAAACCCCCGTTTAGTTATTTTTTTTACATTTTCGTGCCTGGAAGTCGGTTTTTTTTTAAGTTCTTATATTACTAACAGTAGCCTGTGTGTCTTCAGATCACAGCATCAATACGATCGATCGAACGATAGGCGAAGAAGAAATTCGAAGAAGACAAACCTATTAAACTAACTAGCAGTTAATCAAAGTAACAGTTAAACTAACTAGCTGTTTATCAAACTAACAGTTAAACTAACTGGCAGTTAATCAAACTAAGAGCTAAACTAACTGACACTTAAGCTAACCGACAGCTAATCTTACTAGCCGTTAACCAAACTGACAGTTTATGTAACTGATAGTTAACGTTACTGACAGTAAATCAAATTGACAGTTAAACTTACTGACAGTTAAACTAACTAAAAGTTAAACTCACTTACAGTTAAGCTAACTAACAGTGAAACTAACTAAAAGTTAAACTTACTTACAGTTAAGCTAACTGACAGTGAAACTAACTGACAGTTAAGGAAACTATCAGTTAAACTAACTGACTGTTAAATTAACTGACAGTTAAACTTACTAGCTTGTAATAATACTGACAGTTTGTCATACTGACAGTTACATTACTGACAGTTAAACAAACTGACAGTTAAATTAACTAGCAGTTAACCTAACTAGCAGATAAACTAACTGACAGTTAAGCTAACTGCCAGTAATGTAACTGTCAGTAAGACTAACTGTCAGTTTTATGACAAGCTAGTAAGTTTAACTGTCAGTTAATTTATCTGCCAGTAAGTTTAACTTTCGGTTAGCTTGACAGTCAATTAGTTTAACTGTCAGTTTGATTTACTGTCAGTAACGTTAACTGTCAGTTAGGTTAACTGTCAGTTTAATTAACGGCTAGAAAGATCGACTGTCAGTTACTTTAACAGTCAGTTAATTTAACTGATAGTTTCCTTAACTGTCAGTTTAACTTTCAGATAGTTTAACTGTCAGTTAGTTTAACTGACAGTTAGTTTAACTGTCAGTTAGCTTAACTGTAAGTAAGTTTAACTTTTAATTAGTTTAACTGTCAGTAAGTTAAACTGTCAATTTGATTTAAAAGGTTTTATTGTGTTTTCTAGTTTTTTTTATTTTCTTTCGCTTAATGCCTGAAATTATCAGTATTATTAAAAGTGTTATCTTTGTATTTTGTAGTGTATTAATTGTGTGGGGCTTTCTACTCGTATATACATATATTTATAGCCTTTAGGAGAAGTTATTCAAAATAAACTATATAATAACATATAATTTCTTTCGATTAGAAAGTAGACATTTTCAATGCATTATAATATTTTAATATTATTTTTTAGTTTTACTTTTTTTATGATATTTAGGACTACTCCTCGGTTTGCTCGGTGTCCTTAGGTGCCTATGGTAAATTTTATGGTATGTCACATTTTGGCATATTTTTAACCGACTTCCAAAAAGGAGGAGGTTATCAATTCGCCGGAATCTTTTTTTTATGTATGTTCATCGATTACTCGAAGACGCCTTTGGAAGAGCCTTTAGAAGAAGGCCGATTTGAATTTTTTTTGTTTCAAATCGTATACTTCCCAGGTGGTCCCATATAAATTTTATCGAAATCGGCCGAGCAGTTTTCTTTAAAATCAACAAATAAATTGCTTAATCGAACATGTTATTGAAAAACTTTCTTCTAACAAATTACCTGCTTATTACGTGTTCACTAAAAATGGACAAATAAAAAATGAAAAAAAACCCCGACTTCCAGGGATTAAATGTAAAATATAATTAAACTGGGGTTTTCATTTAGAATAGATACCTAATCAGATATTTTCGAAGTCGGTGCCAGCCTACAATATTTTAAGATATGAATATCTAATAGGTAAATAATAAATATGTGGTTTACGTATCGAAATATATTAGATTTGCTTTGCATCGGCTGGTACCGACTTCAAAAATATCTGATTAGGTATCTATTCTGAATGAAAACTCCCGTTTAGTTATTTTTTAC